TCACCACCCGTTTTGGGGACTCGTGCGGTTTTCCGAGTATGTCCCGGACACTGGTGGGTCCAGGAGTCACAAAACCCGGTGGTGACCCCGCGTCCCCAAACCCAGCGGTGACCTTTTTGGGGATTCCAGGTCGCCACCTGGTATCTCACCACCCGGTTTGGGGGTTCCCAAGGGCCGCCCGCAGCCTGCACGAGCACTGCAGGCACCGGCGCGGCCACGCGGGCCGGGCGCGCAGCGGGCGCCCCCGCCGCACCGCGCGCCGCGCCCGCGAGCCTGGGGAGGCTCCCTCTCGCGGTCTGCACGGGCAGGGGCCCCTCTTGTTCACCTCCTCCTCCTCCTCCTCGTCCTCGTCCTCCTCGTCCTCGTCCTCCTCGTCCTCGTCCTCCTCCTCCTCCTCCTTTTCCTCCTCCTTCTTCTCCTCCTCCTCCTCCTCCTCCTCGTCATCATCGTCACCACCACAACGACCCCACCACCACAACCAGCACAATCAGCATCGTCGTCGTCCTCGCCGTCGTCGACGTTGTCATTGCCGTCGTGTCCTCGTCGTCATGATTACTAGCTTCACCATCATCATGGTCATCATGATCATGATCATGATCATGATCATGATCGTCATCATCACCACCACCACCATCATCATCCTCATCATCGACATCGACATCGACATCGACATCAACATGGACACCGACATCATCATCATCATCATGATCATGATCATGATCATGATCATCACCATCCTCCTCATCCCCATCCTCATCATCCTCCTCATCATAACCATCGTCGTCATCAGCAGCAGCACCATCATTATCCCCATCAGCATCAGCAGCTGCGAAATCATCGCCATCAGCACCATCACCATCGCCATCGCCATCGCCATCGCCATCACCATCATCACAATCACCATCACCATCAACATCACCGTGATCATCATCATCGTCATCATCACCATCATCAGCATCAGCATCAACATCATTATCATTAGCATCATCATCATCACCAGTAGTATCACCATGATCATGTTCATCATCGTCATCGTCATCACCATCCCATAATCACACTCATGATCATCATCATCATCATCATCATCATCATCATCATCATCAACATCATCATAACCGCCATCAGCATCATCACCATCACCATCACCATCACCATCACCATCATCGCCATCATCAATCATCGTCATCATCACTGTCAATATCATCATCCTCATCATCATCCTCATCTTAATGTTCACATGCATCATCAGCAATATCCTCCTAACCATCTCCCCAATCCTCCTCATGATCAACATCATCATTACAAGCATGATTATGATCATCATAAATATTATCATCATTATTATCGTCATCATCATCATCCCCTCCTCCCCATCTTCTTCTGAGCTTATCCTCCTCATTCTCCTTATCCTCATCGTCCTCATCTCCTTCTCCTCCCTCTCCTCCTTCTCCTCCTCTTCATCTCCCTGGTTCGCGGGGGGCGGGCCATTCTGCCCCTACAGGCGATGAATGGGCGACGAGGCCCTCTAAGCGATGAACGGGCGATGGATGGGTCTACTAGGCCCCTATGGGCTATCTTCTTGAGCTCAGACTCGCGTCCCGGAGACGATTGGGATATTAGGGCCCTATTGGCGCGAACGTGGCGATTGGGTGTCATTGCATCCCGCCCTGAGCCCATTCCCCCCTACAGCTGCCCTCGGGTTCGCCGCGTTCCTCCTCCTCATCATTTCCTCATCCCCCAGTCACCCCCCTTCCTTCTCAACATCCTCATCCTCATCCTCATGTTCATCCTCATCCTCCTTTTCGTCGTGGCCGTCACCATCACCATCAGCATCAACATCACCAGCATCACCAGCACCAGCACCATCATCATCATCATCAGCATCATCATCATCAGCAGCATCATCATCATTATCATCTTCTTCATCATCATCAGTATCACCATCAGTATCATCATCATCATCGTCGTCATCATCGACAATATTGCTATCATCATCATCAGCACTCACACCATTTCAATTACCATGCTCGTAACCATAATCATCCCCACCACCAGCATCACACTCATCATCAGCATTACAATCACCACCATCACCACCATCATCACCAGCAGCATCATCATGAGTATCATCCACGTCATAGTCAGTATCGTCATCATCACCGTCACCATCCCCATCACCATCACCATCATCACCATCATCAGCATCATCATCACCATCACCACTATCAGCATCATCAACATCACCAACATCACCACCACCATCATCAGCATCATCACCACCGTCACCACCATCATCAGCATCATCACCATCGTTATCATCATCATCAGCCGCATCATCACCAGCATCACCATCACCATCAGCATCATCTTCAGCATTAACAGGTTCATCATCAGCATCATCATCAGCAGCAACATCATCACCATCCTCATCCTTCCTCATCCTCATCATCCTCCTCCTCCTCCTCCTGCTCCTCCTCCTGCTCCTCCTCCTCCTCCTCGTCCTCCTCCTCCTCCTCCTCCTCCTCATAGCGCTCATCGTCCTGCCTGCTGCTCAGAGACGGGGCCCTGAAGAATGGGGCCCCGAGGGGCAAGGAGGGGCCCCAAGCGACGCCTTTCGCGGTCGAGGCCGCCCTCTCTCCGGGCGTTCGCCCTGGAGGAGGAGGAGGAGAATGAGGAGGAGGATGAGGAGGAGGAGGAGGAGGAGGAGGCGCAGGAGGAGGAGGAGGAGGAGGAGGCGCAGGAGGGGCGTCCTAGCAGGAGCGACAGCGGATGGGGAGGGGGGAGGAGGGCTCTCCCACTCTTCTCGCCCTCTCGACTCGGCTACGGTCAACCCGCATAGCAAGGATGCGCGATAAGGATGCAAGGCCCTCGGACGCCCAGTTCGAAGCGCTTCGAGCGGGGCGCGGCGAACGAAAGTATTCAAGGCCGGACCCAGGAAGCAAGGATGCAAAGGGCACCCCTTGGGAAGGTTGCACATCCCAGCTCTGCGGGTCGACTGTGCCGTAGGAGCTCAACCACCAGAAACCTTCCACGAGGAGCCCGACCCTGGAGCTCCCGGACGTCAGAAACTCGAGGCGTGGGAGCGCCACGCTCTCTGGAGCAGAGCCGTCGACCCCCCAAGGAGACCCCGGGAAAACAGGAGGCGAGCGGGGTGCTTCCTGGCGTGGGCTCCCACTACAGGCTCGGATTGCCAAGGAGTTCCACCAACGTTTTCTTACTCGGCGCTTCGACATTGGGCGGAAAGAGGGGGGGAGGGGGGGGGGGGCTCCGGACCTTTGCTTAGTGCGACTATTTGCAACAGTGCGTCCGATGGAGGAGGCCCCACCTGCTCGAAACAGGCGCCAAAAACAGCCAAGAGCTACACTCCACGGGGGGGGAGGTGGGGGAGTGCGAGGGCCCGCGCCGATCGGCAAAAGAATGAAAAAAAACGACCACCAAGAATGGCTGCCAGGGACTGCTTCAGTCGGGGATGGACAGACCTCCCTTTAGTAAAACGTGGTTTAGTGAAAACGACCCGAGGCCCAAACCTGGCGGGCGCAAGCCTGGAAAATACCGGCCGCGGCGCCCTCTCGAGAGCCGAAAACGGACACTTCACTAATCGACGTGGCACTGTTGGAGGTTCTGTCCGCCCCCGATTCAGAAGGGGCGTGGCAGGAAGGCTGTGGGAACCCTGTACCCACGCGGGGCGTCAGGCCCCCGCGTAGGCTCGGAGCCGACTAGGATTATGTTCCCCCTCGTTCGCCACGACACTCCTCCTCCTCCCCCTCCTCCTCCTCCTCCTCCTCCTCCTCCCCCTCCTCCCCCTCCTCGCCCTCCCAGAGAGCCGACGGAACGTCGGCGGTGGACAGACCTCCCTCTAGCAAACCTCCGCTTCGTGAAAACGGCCTGGGACCGAAACCGACGGACCTGGACCCGCCCTCCTTCTAGGGGGGAAACAAACCTACCTCGCTTTTGACCACCCTCGCTTCCAAGAGATACCAAGCGATGCCCAATTGCAGCCTGTACTGGTCAGGCCGCTTGACGAGGAGGCGCGTGGTATGGCTTGGTTTTGCCTGGAAGCGAAAGCGGGGTAGGTAATTCACGCTCTGACGCCTTCTCCTCATCCGAAATGGATCGGTGGGGGGGGGGATTCGAACTGGAATCGGCAGTACATCGCAGATAGATCGGCGATAGACCTCCAATAGCGAAACCGCACATTACTGGGCGGGAGCTATCGGCGATGAATGGGAAATTTGGGAAGGGGGTCGGTGGATGCATCCCCCCCTGAGCCCATGCTTCCCCAAAAATGCCTCTGAAATCGCTACGATCCTCCTCCTCAACTCCCCGAGACCAGTCGGAAGGGCGGGCTGGGCGTTTCGCCTGAGACTTTCTCACAATTTGATCCTGAAACTTACGCTCTGCAACACTTTCACGGATGGAGGGGTGGTTTTGAAAATGTGGCTCTCTCCTAAACGCCATGCCAATCCGCTTCAAACATGTGTAAGAGCTTCACGGATGAAGGGCGGATTGTTTTCAACATGTGGTTCTCGCCTGGGCGCCGCGCACATCCGCTTTAAAATTGAAATGATTCCGCGGATTGAAGACAGGTCCGTTTAAATTACCCTGGCGAAGGACCCAACCATCTGAAGCTATGAGTACAGTTGTTGCGGGCATCGCCTTGGGGGGATCACTTCATGGGGCCATGAAGCATGCGAAGGGTATGCCGATGTGGGGCGGGGCCGCCATGTGGGCGCTGCCTCTGGTGCTTTAGGCGGAACCCACTACAGGGCCAGGGGTGCGCCGCAATGGGGCGGGGCCGCCACTGGGGCCTTGGCTATTGGGCAACGAAGCGCTGTACTGGGCGGGGGAAACGCATGCGAACACCGCCACTGGGGCCTTCGGTGGAGCTCCCATTGAGGCCACGAAATGCTGTACTGGGCGAAGGGAAGCGCATGCGAACACCGCCACTGAGGCCTCCTGAGGAGCTCCGTATGTGGCCATGAAGCGCTGTACTGGGTGGGGGGAGCGCATGCGAACACCGCCACTGGAGCCCTCGGTGGAGCTCCGTAGGGTGCAGCGAAGCGCTATTCTGGGTGGGGGAAACGCATGTGAACCCCACCACTTGGGCCTTCGATGAAGCTCCCTATGGGGCCACGAAGCGCGGCACTCGGTGGGGGAAACGCATGCGAACACCGCCACTATGGCCACGAAGCGCTGTGCACGGTTGGGGAAACGCACGCGAACTCGGTCTAGCTCCCCACGTGTGCCGGACACTGGAATGGGTGGGGGAAACGCATGCGGGCACCGCCACTGGGGCCTTCGGTGGAGCTGCGCGGGGCCACCGAACGCTGTTCTGGGTGGGGGAAACGCACGGAAACGCATGCTGAACACCGCCACTGGGGCCTTCGGCCCAGCTCCCTATGGGGCCACGAAGCGATGTACAGGGTGGGGGAGACGCATGCGAACACCGCCACTGGGGCCCTCGGTGGAGCTCCCTGTGGGGCCCTGAAGCGCTGTTCTGGGTGGGGGAAGCGCAGGCGAACACCGCCACTGGAGCCTTACTTAGAGCTCCCTATTGGGACGCGAAGAGCTGTACTGGGCGGGGGGAACGCATGCGAACACCGCCACTGGGGCCTTCGTTGGAGCCCCCTCTTGGGCGACGAAGCGCTGTATTGGGTAAGGGAAACGCATGCGAACACCGCCACTGCGGCCGTCGGTGGAGCTCCCCGTGGGGCCACGAAACGCTGTGCTGGGTGGGAGAACGAATGCGAACGCCGCCAATCTCACCTTCGGTGGAGCCCCCTACGGTGCCACGAGGCGCTGTACTGTGTGGGGTGTGGGGAGGGGGGCGAAACGCATGCGAACACTGCAACAGGCGTTATCGATGCAGCTCCCTACGGGGCCACGACGCGTGTGAGGGGTGCGCCAAAATAGAGGGGGGCGGCATGCGAACCATGCCACTAGGGCCTTGGGTGGAGCTCCCTACGGGGGCCACGAAACGTATGAGGGTGTGCCAAAGTGAAGGGGGAACAGCACGCGGACCATACCACTGGAGCCTTTGGTGGAACTCCCTTTGGTGGAACCATGCCACGAAACGTGTGAGGGGTGTTTCAAACTGGAGGGGGGCGGCATGCGAACTGGGGACTTAAGTGGAGCTCCATGTGTGGCCGCGAAACCAATGAGGGGTGTGTCAAATTTGGACGGGGGGCAGCATGCGAACCATGCCAATGGGGCCTTCGGTGGAGCTCCTCATGGAGCCACGAAGCGAATGAGGGGTGTGCCAACGTAGATGGGGACCGGCATGCGAACACTGCCACTGGGGCCTTCGGTGAAGCTATAGGGTCACGGAGTGTGTGAATGGTGTGCCAAAATGGAGGGGGGCGGCATGCGAACACTGTCACTGGGGCCTTCGGTAGAGCCCCCGTGGAGATGGAGGGGGAGCGACACGCGAACCATGCCAATGGGGCATTCGGTGGAGCTCCCGAGGGGGCCACGAAACGTATGAGGGGTGTGCCAACGTGGAGGGGGAGCGGCATGCGAACCATGCCACTGGGGCCTTCGGTGGAGCTCCCCGTGGGGCCACAAACGTGTGAGGGGTGTGCCAAAGGGAGGGCAAAAGGCAAAGGCACGGGCAAGGATGGGAGGAGGGAAGAGCGGGCGAAGGAGGAGGAAGAGGAGACGCGGAGACTGTCTCTGCAGAACGAGGACCAAACACCACAGGATAGTTGGGAAAAATGCTGCTCTCGCCTCAGCGCCGAGCACATTCGCTAGAACAAGTGCAAGAGTTTCACGGACGGAGGGCCTTTCCTTGTCGAAACGTGGTTCTCGCCTGAGCGCCGCGCAGTCGTTCTGAGAGCATACAGCAGTTTCAAGGATTCGGCGATGCATCGGCGATGCGTCGGCAACGTGGGCGATGCATCGGCGACGCCGGCGTGAAACACATCGGGCTCCACATCGAGCTGCATCGGCGATGCATCGGCGATGTGGCGCGATCCTCCGATCCTATCTACTCCGACCCCACCTGGGAGGCCTAGACGCTCTCAGGGGCCACCTGGCGGCCAGCTTGGGCCGCCGGTGGGAGCCCAAGAGGCCAGCTCGTCTCTCGGTGGCCTCGGAAGTCCGTCGAGGAGTCATCTGCAGCAGCCAGGCAGAACGTGGAAATCCCGCCAACCCTTGGGGCTACGAGGGAGGAGGAGGAGGAGGAGGAGGAGGAGGAGGAGGAGGAGGAGGAGGAGGAGGATGAGGAGAGAGGAGGAGGGGAGGGAGAGGGAGGGGGAGGAGGAGGAGGAGAGGAGGAGGGGGAAGGAGGAGGGGGAAGGGGGGGAGGAGGAGGAGGAGGAGGAGGAGGAGGAGGAGAGGAGGAGGAGGAGGAGGAGGAGGGCTACAGAGTTTCTGCGTCGCTCAGCTCTCGCCGTCCCTCCCGTGTGGGGGCCTCAGCCGGCGCAGCCCGAGGCAGCCGAGCGCCACGGAGGAGAGCAGGGAGCCGAGGCCGAGGCCCGCGACGAGGCCCGGCCGCCACATGCCCCCGCTCCCTGGTTGAGAGGGGGCACAACGGGCTGTTTCTCCACCACCACTACCAGAGGTAGGCCAGGGAGGAGGAGGAGGAGGAGGAGGAGGAGGAGGAGGAGGAAGAGGGAGCAGCAGAGGGGCAGTTGGAGGGCCCGCGGCGCGGGGGAAGAGGAGGAGGAGGAGGAGGCGGAGGAGGGGGCGGAGGAGGAGGAGGAGGAGGCGGAGGAGGAGGAGGCGGAGGAGGAGGGGGGGAGGAGGAGGAGGAGGATGAGGAGGACGAGGAGGCGGAGGAGGACCTCTCCATCTTCCCTGCTCCCCCGTCCTATACATGGCAGTTGGAACATCGGGGATGACTACGTCAGTCTCGTGCCGTTCCGACTTCGGCGTTGGCTTCTGACACCGCGGGATCGTTCAACCTTGAACGATCGGCCGTTTCCGACACGTCCAAGTCGTTCCACATCCAACGATTCTGGGTCGCCCGCGGCGTTCAACGTTGAACGCCGCTGGCGGGGTCGCCGCCGGTCGACACGACACGCACCTACCGTACCTACCAGACCACCCCGACCCAACCCGAAGACCCGAATTTCCATGTTCCCCGATCCCCCCACCCCCACTGGACAAAAATGGAAGGCAAATCGGGGCCTTCGGGTTGGGTTGGGGTGGTTTGGTAAGCGGCGGCTGGTTCAGAAAGAACATCTGCATAAGACTAATTCCAAACCATCCTGTTTTGTTGGGTCCTCGTTTTGAAGAGACAGCGCCCCGCGTTCACTCCTTCCTTCCTTCCTTCCTTCCTTCCTCCCTCCGCCTCCTCCCCCCCCCTCCTCCCTCCTGCCATGCCCCCTCCCTCGTCACCGCACCCATTTCGGCACACCCATCACACGTTTCGTGGCCCCATAGGGAGCTCCACCGAAGGCCCCAGTGGATGCGTTCGCATGGCGGCACCGCACCCATGTCGGCACACCCCTCACACGTTTCGTGGCCCCATAGGGAGCTCCACCGAAGGCCCCTGTGGCTGCGTTCGCATGGCGGCGCCGCACCCATTTCGGCACACCACTCACACGCTTCGTGGCCCCATAGGGAGCTCCACCGAAGGTCCAGTGGCTGCGTTCGCATGGCGGCGCCCCGCACCCATTCCGGCACACCCCTCACACGTTTCGTGGCCCCATAGGGAGCTCCACCGAAGGCCCCAGTGGCTGCGTTCGCATGGCGGCGCCGCACCCATTTCGGCACACCCCTCACACGATTCGTGGCCCCATCGGGAGCTCCACCGAAGGCCCCAATGGCTGCGTTGGCATGGCGGCACCGCACCCATGTCGGCACACCCCTCACACGTTTCGTGGCCCCATCAGGAGTTCCACCGAAAGGCCCAGTGGATGCGTTCGCATGGGGGCGCCGCACCCATTTCGGCACACCCCTCACACGTTTCGTGGCCCCATAGGGAGCTCCACCGAAGGCTCCAGTGGCTGCGTTGGCATGGCGGCGCCGCACCCATTTCGGCACACCCCTCACACGTTTCGTGGCCCCATAGGGAGCTCCACCGAAGGCCCCAATGACTGCGTTGGCATGGCGGCGCCGCACCCATTTCGGCACACCCCTCACACGTTTCGTGGTCCCATAGGGAGCTCCACCGAAGGCCCCAGTGGCTGCGGCGCCGCACCCATGTCGGCACACCCCTCACACGCTTCGTGGCCCAATAAGGAGCTCCACCGAAGACCCCAGTGGCTGCGTTCGCATGGCGGCGCCGCATCATGCAGCTCCACTTGGGGGTGGCGGAAGCGGGGGGGGGGCAACCAAACCGCCGCTGAGACAGCGCAAGGCCGCTCAAAACACAACCAAACCCGCTTAATTGCGCAACGATGCGCAACAACAATGGAATCTCCCATCGGGAAAGGCGCCACGCAAAGCCAAGTTGGCACAGCGGAGCCGTAGAGTGGGCAGTTCGGAACAACATCCTGGCGCAACCGCGCACCATTGGAACACATTGCGGCACAGACGCTTCATGGCATCAAACCATTGAAACGCTACCAGCGGCCAAATCGGCTCTTTCTTGGGAATAGCCCACAGACCGACTCGCCAGCAAGACCAAAGCGCTGCGGGGCCTGCAAGCAAGAGGAACCGCGCTGCTGACACTGGTGAGGCGAAGGCGGGCGCGGCATTGTAGATGCCATGGGCCACTTGGGCGGTGCCCTGGTGAACTCCCTGCCAGAGCGAGCGTTCAAGAAGAGTGCTGAAGTGGTGTCTCACTGTGCGCATGCGAAAGCGGAGCGGTTGCTCTGGGTGGATCACGCCCCGAAGAACGCTCGAGGCCGCAGTGGGCATAGGGTCTCGCTATGCGAATGTGCGCGCTCGCTTCTCCCAACCATCCTGTGGTGTTAGGCCTTCGTTTTGAGGAGACAGTGCCCGGCGCTCCTTCCTTCTTTCCTCCTTGTCCCCCTCCTCCCTCCTCCCTCCTCCACCATGCGCCTCCCGCGCCCAGAAGAACGCTTCGGGGCCCCATGGGGGCTCAACGAAAGCCCCATCGGCTGCACTCGCATGCGGTTCCCCTATCCAGGACTGTGCTTCGCGTCTCCAAAGAGATTCCCATCGAAAGCCCCAATGGCTGCACTTGCATGGGTTCCCCCACTCAGGACAGCGCTACGTGGCCCCGTAGGGAGCCCCACCGAAGGCTCCAGTGGCTTCATTCGCATGCGGTTCCTCCACCCAGGACAGCGCTACGTGACCCCGTCGGGAGCTCCACCTAAGACCCTGGTGGCTGCACTCGCGTGCTGTTCCCCCACTCAGACAAGCGTTCCGTGGCTCTGTAGAGGTCTCCACCAAAGGACCCAGTGGCTGCACTCGCATGCAGTTCCCCCCCCCCCCCCCACCCAGGGCAGCGCTACGCGGCCCCATAGGGAGCTCCACCGAAGGCCCCGGTGGCTGCACTCGCATGCGGTTCCCCTTCTCAAGACAACGTTTCGTGGCCTCATCGGGAGCTCCACCGAAGGCCCCAGTGGCTGCACTCGCATGTGGGTCCCCCGCCGGGGACAGCGTTTCGTGGCACCATACGGAGTTTCTTACTCATCCTACTGCCCTTCCTCCTCCTGATCCTCCCCCCCCCTTGCTCCTCCTCCATCCTCGTTTGTGCCACCCTCCCTCTCGCGCCCTCTCCTCCCACAGGCCGTGACGGGATTGCATGCGGCGCACATCATGTTGTTTTCGCAACGGAAACTTGGAAAATTAGCCTGGCAATGGATCCAACCATATGAAGGTGTGGGTTCCGCAATGTTGAAACTCGTCTTCGATGGAGCTCCCCATGGGTCCACGGAACGCTGTCCTGGGTGGGAGAACCGTATGCGAGTGCAGCCATTGGGGCCTTCGCCTCATCGGGAGCTCCACCGAAGGCCCCAGTGGCTGCACTCGCATGTGGGTCCCCCGCCGGGGACAGCGTTTCGTGGCACCATACGGAGTTTCTTACTCATCCTACTGCCCTTCCTCCTCCTGATCCTCCCCCCCCCTTGCTCCTCCTCCATCCTCGTTTGTGCCACCCTCCCTCTCGCGCCCTCTCCTCCCACAGGCCGTGACGGGATTGCATGCGGCGCACATCATGTTGTTTTCGCAACGGAAACTTGGAAAATTAGCCTGGCAATGGATCCAACCATATGAAGGTGTGGGTTCCGCAATGTTGAAACTCGTCTTCGATGGAGCTCCCCATGGGTCCACGGAACGCTGTCCTGGGTGGGAGAACCGTATGCGAGTGCAGCCATTGGGGCCTTCGGTGGACCTCCCGATTGAGCCGAGAAACGCGGTCCTGGGCAGGGGAGTCGCATGCGAGTGCAGCCACCAAGGTCTTCGGTGGAGCTCCCGGCCTCGAAACGCTGTCCTGGGCGGAGGAACCGCATGCGAGTGCAGCCACTGGAGCCTCCGGTGGAGCTCCCTACGGGGCCACGAAACGCTGTCCGGGGCGGGGGGACCGCATGCGAGGGCAGCCACTGGGGCCTTCGGTGGCACATCCGATAGGGACACAAAGCGCTGTCCTGGGTGGGGGAACTGCATGTGCGTGCAGCCGCTGGGGCCTTCGGCGGAGTAACACGAGCGGTCAGCAGGGGGGAGCAGGAGGAGGATCAGGACGAGGAGAAGCTAGCTGGGGTGGTAAGTGAGGGTTGAGGAGGAGCATGAGGACCACGATGAGATCCATGGGAACCTTATTCCCGATGAATTGGAATAGCAGGCAGGAAAATCTGAACTGGCTTGGGACTGCGCGGCATTCCCAACAAGATATTTTGAGAGGGGAGCGGGGCCCCAACACGCCGGCGTATACTATGGAACTCTCGTTTTGAGGCGAATTGAGAAACATTGAGACGGATTGAGAGGAATTGAGATCGTTTGAGAGAAATTGAGATACAATTCTTCGTTCAAGCCGTGGATTAAGAGAAATTGAGACGAGAAAGGCGGTCCAGTTGAGGACAATTGAGACCGTTTGCGATGGCCAGTGGAAATTTTCGGAAGGGTTTGATGGCAATGCGATTTGGGAGCATGAGGACAGCAGCAGAAGGATGGAAGGCAGGAGAAGCACACGGCGAGGACCCGATGGCCTGGACCATGGCAACTGGAGCCAAAACATATTTCCCAAACGAGGGCAAACGGTGGAGGATGCACATGCCACAGGGCCTTGTGCTCGTTAGGAGCGCGCTAGAATGCCAAGGGCTGCCTGACAGGGTTTCTGCAAGTCTTCTCAGGGGCTCCCGCCGCCCCTCTCGCCGCAGAACGCCGCATGCATCGGGCCGCGCTTCCCCAGTGAAGAACAACAAATATTCACTCCCGCAACAAGGATCCTCCGTGGAAGTACATCAGGTCCACGCTCTCGTGGCTACGATTCCTCGCAAATTTGCCTGGATATGGCCCTCACCATATGCAGTTGTGGGCTCCGCAATTATGAATATTTCACCTTCGATGGAGCTCCATGCGGGTCCACGAAGCGCTGTCATGGGTGGGGGAACCGCATGCGAGTGCAGCCACCGGGGCCTTCGGTGGAACTCCCGATCGAGCCGAGAAACGCGGCCCTGGGCAGGGGAACCGCATACGAGTGCAGCCATTGGGGCCTTGGGTGGAGCTCCCCCACGCGGCCACGAAACGCTGTCCTGGGTGGGGGGGACCGCATCCGAGTATAGCCACCATGGCCTTCGGTGGAATCCCCGCTTGAGCCGAAAAACTTGGTCCTGGTTGGGGGGACCGCATGCGAGTGCAGCCACTTGACCTTCGATGGAATTTCCGATTGAGCCGAGAAGCGCGATCCTGGGCGGAGGGAACCGCATGCGAGTGCAGCCACTGGGGCTTCGTCGGAGCTACCGACGGGGCCACGAAGCGCTGTCGTGGGCGGAGGGAACCGCATGCATGTCCGGCCACATGGGCCTTCGGCGGAACTCCCGATGAGGCCACGAAGCGCTGGCGTGAGTGCTGGATCGCATTCGAGTGCAGCATCAGGGGCCTTCTGCGGGGCTCCCCATGGGGCCACGAAGCGCTGTCCTGGGTCGGACGTCCGAATGCTAGTGCAACCACCGGAGCCTTCGGTGCAGCCCATATATGGGGCCACGTAGCGCTGTCCTGGGTGGTGGAACCGCATGCAGCCACCAGGTGGGGCTCCCCATGGGGCCACGAAGCGCGGTCGTGGGTGGGGACGCGCCTGCGAATGCAGCCACCGGTGGAGCTCCCGACGGTGCCACGAAATACGATCCTGGGCGGATGGGATCGCATGCGAGTGCAGCTGCTCGGGCTCTAGGTGGAGCTCCTTTTCGGGCTACGAAGCGCCGGCCTGCCCATGCTACTGCAGCCGTTGGGGCTCTCGGTAGAAACCCCTATGGCGCCACGAAGCGCAGTCCTAGGTGGGGGAGCCGCAAACGAGTGCAGCCACTGGGGTCTTCGGTGGAGCTCCCTACAGAGCCACGAAACGTTGTCCTGTGTGCGGGGGGCGCACGGTGGAAAAGGGAGGAGGAAGAAGGGGGCGAGGAGGTGAGGAGGAAGGAACGTGGGGCACTCTCTTCGAAACGAGGACCTAACACCACAAGATGGTTGAGAGAGGCGACGCCGGCGAAACACAAATTGGGGGATGGCCCCCCAAACCGCTCCCAAACTCGGGCATTCCGAAAACATCTGCCCCTTGACCCAGGGCAAAGAAGATATTGATGTAAAGCAGCGTTTCCAAAAAACAAAAAAAAAAAAAGACAAAAAAAAGAGAAAAACAAAAGAAAAAAAAGAAACGAAAACAAAACCAAAAAATAAAACAATAAAAAAAAAAAAAAAAAAAAAAAATAAAAAAAGAAAAAAAAAAAGCGCACAATCGCAATGGCGTGTCCAGACCAAAAAACAAAAAAAAAAACAAAACCAAAAGAAAAACGAAAAAAAACACGTGTCCAGACGTTGAAAAAGAAACGCCGATAAACATGCGCCCAGGCCCCAACCGCTTCAGTCACACACAAAGCCAACCCAGAGCGACATCAAGGCGTTTTCAAACTGCCGCATGGACGAAACTTCTGGGGAACATTTCACATGCGCAGGCCGCCTTCCGAGAAACAAAAAGACGATCTCGCGCCAGCAAACGCGCTCAACTTTCGCCCCCCCCGGTGACGCCCCCCCCAAGTGGAGCTGAAGGACCGCACACCCATTTTCGGCACACCACTCACACTTTTTCGTGGCCCCATAGGGAGCTCCACCGGCAAGGTCCCCAGTGCCTGCGTTCGCATGGCGGGCGCCGCACCCATTTCGGCACAGACCCCTCACGAGGTAACGTTTTTCGTGGCCCCATTAGGGAGCTCCACCGAAGGCCCCAGTGGATGCGTTGGCGTGTTATGGCGGCGCCGACCCCATTTCGCAACCCCCCTCCCCTAAAAAACGATTCGTGGCCCCATGGCAGCCTTTTCCTGATTCTAGGATTGGCTCGTTGGCATGGCGGCTGCCGCACCCATTTTCGGCACACCCTCACACGTTTTCGTGGCCCATAGGGAGTTTCCACCGAAGACCGAGGCGCCCAGTGGCTGCGTTGGCATGGCGGCGCCGCACCCATTTCGGCACACCCCTCACACGTTTCGTGGCCCCATAGGGAGCTCCACCGAAGGCCGCAGTGGCTGCGTTCGCATGGCGGCGCCGCACCCATTTCGGCACACCCCTCACACGTTTCGTGGCCCCATAGGGAGCTCCACCGAAGGCCCCAGTGCCGCCGCCCGCATGCGTCAGTTACACCCAATTCGGCACACCCCTCACACGTTTTCGTGGCCCCATAGGGAGCTCCACCGAAGGCCCCAGTGCTGCCGCCCGCATGCGTCAGCCACACCCAGTTCGGCACACCCCTCACACGTTTTCGTGGCCCCATAGGGAGCTCCCGAAGGCCCCCAGGGCTTGCGTTGGCATGTGCGCGCCGCACCCCCATTTCGGCACACCCCTTACACGTGTTCGTGGCCCCATAGGGAGCTCCACCGAAGGCCCCAGTGGCTGCGTTCGCATGGCGGCGCCGCACAGCCATTTCGTTCTTCACACCCCTCCACAACACCGTTTCGTGGCCCCATAGGGAGCTCCACCGAAGGCCCCAGTGGCTGCGTTGGCATGGCGGCGCCGCACCCATTTCGGCACACCCCTCACACGTTTCGTGGCCCCATAGGGAGCTCCACCGAAGGCCAAAGTGGCTGCGTTCGCATGGCGGCGCCGCACCAATTTCGGCACACCCCTTACACGCTTCGTGGCTCCATAGGGAGCTCCACCGAAGCTCACAGTGGCTGCGTTGGCATGGCGGCGCCGCACCGAAGAAGATGTTCACTATTGCGGTACTCACAGCTGCATATGGTTGGGTCCTTTGCAGGCTAATTTTTTGGAGGTCCGCGTGATTTTTTGGATCTGCGATGAACCCCCTTCCTGGCGCGCACCGCGCGCCAGGGGCGGCGCCAGAGGCGGCTCCGGAGGGACCCCAGCGCAGATCCAGGAAATCCGCGCGGAACTCTGAAAAATTATGGTTACTGGAAGCCGGAGTTATCCAAGATCCCTCCCAAATGATTCGGGGGTTGTTGGTGGGCGGTTGTCAAACCTCCCTTTAGTAAACCTCCCCGTAGTGAAAACGGCCTGGGACTGAAACCGACAGACCTGGACCCGCAACAATGACGGCCGCGACGCCCTCTTGCAAACCGAAAACGGCCAATTCCTTAATCGACGTGTCAGGGTAGGAGGTCTGTCCACCCCAGAGTTAAACGCCCGAATGATGGAATGACTCTGGTCCGGGGCAGCTCCGGTTTGGGCCCCCTTGGCACGAATCTCGAGTAGGAGATCGACTGCAAAACTGATGTGCCCCAACATTGAATATGTTCCGTCGAACCTAGGAGCAAACAAATCATGTAATGTTCGAAGACCTCCGCAAAATGTACGAAGAGATGCTTCGCAAAGTCTACGGACAATAATCCATACTGGGGCAAGACAACTCTGCAATCCATCTCCTGCTCGAGAATGAGGCCCTAATGACTCGGAATTTTGAGCGTTCGGTGGCAACTCATGGGAACCTCCCATTTCATCTTGTCGGCTCCTGCGAATCGACGCTGATCGACGCTAGTCGACGCTAATCGACGCTAAATCGACGCTAATCGATGCTAGTCGACGCTAAATCGGCGCTATCTATCTCGTCGACTCCCAGACGCTAATCGACGCTAGTCGACGCGAAAGACGGAATTAAGAGGGTACACCAGGCTCCTGTGACTGGCTACCGAAAGATCGGAACCCTGCGTGAGATTTACGAATGTCCCGTAGAGCCGACGAAGAATAATCCATCCTGGGGTACGACTAAAGACGGGCCTGTCCCCTACAGGCTGATTCTAGATGAACAAATAAAGAATAATGAAAATATGCTCCAAAAATATTCAAAGATGGTTCCAAAATCAATCCCAGACTCTTCTTTGACTATTCTTTTAATATTCCTCCTGCAGAGGGACAGGCCCGACTTTTGAGGGTGGGGCCCCGATGCTTCGGGACATGGAGCTTATAGGGGGCAAACAAACCTACCTCGCTTTTGACCACCCTCGCTTCCAAGAGATACCCAGCGATGCCAAACCACGGCCTGTGCTGGTCAGGCCGCTTGACGAGGAGGCGCGTGGTACGGCTTGGTTTTGCCTGGAAGCGAAAGCGGGGTAGGTAATTCACGCTCTGAGATGCTTCGGGACATGGAGCTTATGTAGAGGCCTCCCAGCTGGGGTCGGAAGAGATGGGGTCGGAGGATCGCGCCGCATCGCCGATACATCGGCGATGCATCGGCGATGCATCGGCGATACACCGGCGATGCATCGTCGACGTGGGCGATGCATTGGCGACGTCGACGTGGAACAAGCCGGGCTCCACATCGAGCCGCATCGGCGATGCATCGGCGATGCGGCCCGATCCTCCGACCCCATCTACTCCGACCCCATCTAGGAGGCCTAGATTATGCCATTCGATGCCTCGCCCTTGCGCCGCCGCCCCCGCCACTGGCTGGGCTCTGGGCTGCGGCGCCGCCGCCGGCGCCGCCGCGGCCGTGCCCGCCAGCCGCTCGCGGGCGCCCACTACCGCGGCCGCCGCCGCGGCCTCCGCCGCGGCCTACGCCGGCGCCGCCGGGAGGAGGAGGAGGAGGAGGAGGAGGAGGAGGAGGAGGAGGAGGAGGAGGAGGAGCAAAGAGGAAACAGGGAGAGGAGGAATGAGGAAGAGGAGGAGGATGAGGAGAGGAGGGGGAGGAGGAGATGGGGAGAGGAGGGGGAGGAGGAGGAGCAGGAGGAGGAGGAGGAGAAGGAGGGGATGAGGAGGGAGGAGGGAGGGAGTGGAGGAGGCAGGCGGAGGGGGGGAGGACCTGCTGGCCGGGGCGCTCCGCGGGGAGGCTCCGCTGGGCCACCGCGCCCTCCGCTGCTGGTGCCGGTGCTGCTGCTGCTGCTGCTGCTGCTGGCGGCTCTGCCGCCGACCTCCGCCACCGCAGCGCGAGCGCAGCGCCCAGGGAGATCCCGAGGATGGCGCCCGCGGACGCGAGGGCCACGGTGCCACCCAGGCCGCCGGCGTCCAGCAAAGACCACACGTGGTATGGCACCTGGGGGAGGGGGGGGGGATGAACCGTCCCCCACCGGTGTCTCCTCCTCCTCCTCCTCCTCCTCTTCCTTCCTCCTTCTCCTCCTCCCCCGCTCCTCCTTCCTCTCCCCCTCCTCCCCCTACCTCCCCCTCCTTCCTCCTCCTTCCTTCCTCCTCCTCCTCGTCCTCCTCGTCCTCCTCGTCCTCCTCGTCCTCCTCGTCCTCCTCCTCCTCCTCCTCCTCCTCCTCCTCCTCCTCCTTCTCCTCCCTCTTCCTCTTCTTCTTCCTCCTCCTCCTCCTCCACACGTGGGGGGGGGGGATGAACCGTCCGCCCGTGGTCCCCTCGCTAGATTCACTGGGACTGCGGCAGTGCCTGGCGGTCTTCGGGACTCCTGGGCGGTCTTCTGCGCGAGAGCCGAACGGCCGCACCAGAAAGTTGAGCGGGTCCACGGTCGACCACCCAAGACGGAGGAAGACGAAGAGGAAGAGGATGGAAGAGGAGGGGAGGGACACCTGTGGCGGCTCCACGGGCGGCAGTGGCGCTGGTGCCGTCTGGGTTGCGGCGCACACTGTCTCCGCCCCGACGAGGTACCACTCGTTTACGTCTATGCCGCCACCCTCGCCTGCAGCCATCGCTGCAGCGGTGGTCAGCCAGAGCCCGGACTGGCCACTCGAGACGCCCCTGGAGGCACGGCTCTGGTCGCCACTGCTGAAGGCACCGCTGGAGGCGGTGACACCGAACGCCCGCTGCGGAACGCGACCCTCCTCGTCGAGGAAGCTGCCCCTTCACCCTCCCCAGAGATCCGATGTCGTGATTTTATCAATACGCGGTCCCTGGAAGTCTCGACCCATTCTCCAGGACCGGTTCTTCATCCTGAGTCGTTTTTTGACGATCCCGAGGCCCGGCGAGGGCCCCCAGAGGCCGAAACTCTACCAAAACCTCCGTCTGTATTTTTCCAATGCGTTGGAGGTCTGGGTCCGCCACCTTCGATGCGCCGCCCTCTCACCCTCGTGCTCCTGCGCCTCCAGGGGGCGTACCTCCCCCACTGGGCTCCTCCTCCTCCTACTCCTCCTCCTCCTCCTCCTCAACGTCCTCCTCCTCCTCCTCCTCCTCCTCCTCCTCCTCCTCCTCCTCCTCCTCCTCTGCGGGGGGCACCGCCCCCACTGGGCGGCGGGCAGGCGGGCTGGCCCCGACCAGGAGGGGCAAGGGCGGACTTCGTCATCGGGCGGGGGATCCCTGTCCCGTGCGTGCGGTGCGGCGTCGGGGGTGCGCCTCCGGGACACGGGGTTGGGCGTGGCTTAACGGGGGGGTCACCAAATGGGGGGGTCAGAAACGGTCCCCTTTCGTGCCCCTTTCGGGCCCCTCCGGAGCCCCAGGGGGCTCGTTTAGGTACCGTTTGGGTACCTTTTCGGACCACTCTCGCCGCCCCCCCATTTATGACCCCCCCATTACGCAACGCCCAAACGGGGCCGACAAGAGTCGCCTCCGGCATGAGAAGCCAGCGACCGAAGGCAAGGTGAGATGGGCTGACCCCAGCGCTGCACGTCGGTCGGGAGGAGTAGGCAGCACACACGAAGTATGAGGGCGGCTGAAGTGGACTGGGTTCAGGCCCTCCCAGAGAACAGCAACGCACCAAACGCACATGGAATCTCGACGTAGGATGGCACATGGAGTAGACGGGGATCTGGGAAGCCAGAAGTACCTACTTTCGACGACCAGCGTGTATGGCCTAAACATATTGCTGGTGCTCGTGAGCTTCCCGGACTATCGCGCCCTGGCCTCCGAGCACAGCCGGAGACCGCGTGGGGGGGAGGATCCCAGACTCGAGGGCGGCAGAGAAAGCAAGGCACGGACGGAGAGAGAGATAGAGGGAGAGAGAGAGAGGGAGGGAGAAAGAGAGAGACAGACAGAGGGAGAGGAGCCAACAAACCAACAAACAAACAAGCCAACTGGCCAACCAACCAGAGAACTAACCAACCACACCAAAATATATAGAGACTCAGATCACGGAACCGCGAATGAGCACGGGGTCAGCTTCTGTGCCTGTGCCTTCCTCCCTGCTCCGTGTGGCCGTCGGCGTCCTCCCCCGTCTCCTGCGCCACTACGGGCTCCTCCTCGCTCTGCCTGAATCCTCCGCCCCTTCCTCATGTTCCTCCGTCCGCGCCCTCCTCCACCCATCGCACCACATCCCCATGTTGCTGCCGCTGCTCCTCCTCAGCCTCCTTCCGGCTTCTCATATCCCCTGGGCGCTTCCATGGCTGCTCCTGCTGTTCCTCCTACCTACTCCTCGACTTCCCTCTCCGCATTCCACGCGACGGCCGCTGTCATTCCGCCTGCGGCTCACGCAACACTGCGTTGTCCTCCTGGGCCCCACACTATGTCACCGACGGTCTCGGCGGCCGCCGCAGAAGAGACTCTGCCCACGGCCTTCTGTACCTTGTGATATGGGGGGGAGAGCTGGAGGGTAGATGCAGGATCAATGGACGGATAGTTGATGGGTCACCAATAGAGCGCACACGCACACACACACACGCACACACACAAACGCGCGCACGCGCACACACACACACACACACGCACACACAACACACACACACACACACACACACACACGCCCCGCCACACGCCCCGCCACACGCCCCGCCACACGCCCACCCCCCCAACAAAACACACACACACACACATACACGCACACGCACACGCACACGCACACGCACACACCCACGCCCACACACCCACGCCCACACACCCACGGCCCCCCCCCCCACACACACACACCCCACACACACCACACACACCACACACCCACACACACACACACAACCCCCAACACACACACACACAACACCCACCACACACACACACACACAACACACACACACACACACACACACACAAACACACCCACAACACACACACACAACACACACACCCAAACACGCCCGCCACAACGCCCCGCCACACGCCCCGCCACACGCCCACCCCCCCAAACAAAACACACAAACACCACCACATTACAGCACACGCAAACGCACACGCACACGCAAACACCACGCCCACACACCCCAAGCCCCCACACCACGCCCCCACACACACACACACACACACAACCACACACCACACACACCACACCTCACACGCACACACAAAACACAAAACAACACACACCAAACCACACACACACACAAAACACACGCACACGCACAACGCACACGCACACGCACACCGCACCAAACACACACACACACACACAACACACACACACACACGCACACACCACACACCCGCACACGCCCGCCCAACCCCCACCCCAACCCCCCCCCCCCAAACCACACATACCACGCACGCACGCACGCACGCACGCACGCACGCACGCACGCACACATTCACACACACACACACACACACACGCCCTTCCCACACGCCCACCTCCCTCCCCAAACACACACACAAACACACACACACACACGCTCCAACGTCATATCAGTTTCCCTGCGGGGCCTAGTTAGCTCTCGCCCCTGTTTCCCGACTCGTGAGCGCGCAGCGATTGAAGGCGACGGAGGCAATCTTGGGAAGCTGGGGCGCCTATACACCGAGCTCCTTGGACAACCAAAGGGAGTGGTGTGCACATCGTTTCCCCCCCCCCCCACCGTCCCTTCTCCCTTACCCGCCACTTCCTCATTGCATACCCCTGTTGCCTGGCGAGACTTCAAGGACAGATGCTTGCTTCTCCATGGGCGGGAGGAGCGAGGCGCGTTTCTTTCTGCAGGGCATGAGTCAGCAAGTGGTAACACAAAGATGGGATTAGGGGGGAGGGGGAGGAGGAGGAGGAGGAGGAGGAGGAGGAGGAGGAGGAGGAGGAGGAGGAGGAGGAGGAGTAAAAGAGGAGGAGGAGGAGGAGGAGGAGGAGGAGGAGGTAGGGAGGAGGAGGAGGGGGAGGACGACGAAGAAAAAGGAGGAGGAGGGAGGATAGAGGAGTGGGAGGCGGCGGACGGAGGAGGAGGAGGAGAAGGAAAGAGATGGGCGGGTGAGAGGAAGGAGGAGGAGGAGGAGGAGGAGGAGGAGGAGGAGGAGGAGGAGGAAAGAGGAAGATGGGGAGGAAGGGGAGGGGGGAATTTCCCGAGGACGAATGAGGATGAGGGATGGATGACGAGGCGAGGAACGGGACGGAGGAGCAGGAGGTCGAGTCATAAGGACAATCCTTCTTTGATCGAAATCCTCAAAGATGGCCTCGCGATGGCCCAGAAGGCTTCCAAGAGTGGCCCAGGAGGGCCCCAAGAGGCGCCCAGGAGGTCCCCATAGGCCCCCAAAAGGTCTCCGAGAGGCTCCCCCGAGGCACCCAAGCTGCTCCAAGAGGCTCCCGGGACCGCCAAGAGGCTCCCCAAACGTCCAAGGAGGACTCCAGGAAGCTCTCAAAAGACATCCGAGAAGACTCCGAGAGGTATGAAAGAAATCTCTTGACTTCCTGCTCCCGCCTCCTCAACCTCCCTCCTCCTGTCCCTCATCCCTATTATTCCTCCTCCTCCTCCTCCTCCTCCTCGTCCCTCCTCCCTTCCCGCCCCTCCCCCTCCTCATCCTCCGATTCTTCTCCATGCTCCCCCTGTCGGGGTATGACGGCTTCACCAGCCTATTGCTTCACTGCATGCTCCTCCACATTCCTGATCAGGGCAACTCGCCTGGCATCGTTTCCGGATGGGCCGGTGGGGTCACGCGAAACGTCTAGAATTCTTTCGCCGAGCTCTTCGGCTCCTTGGCCGGCCAAACGACGTGATATGTTCATGTTCATAGAACGAGCCCCTTCCAAGAGGAGGAATCTGAGGATGAGGCCCGGCGCGTTTTCTGCAGCCGCGTGCGGCCACTAGCCAGCCAGTCACTCTGGGGACGAATAGGAAGGCACCAACTATACACCAACACCGATCCTGGCCAGGATCACCCTGGGCCCAGGATCGGTGTATACGCCCTCCTGCCTTGCGCAAGAAGGCATATACAGCGATCCTGGGCCCAGGGTGATCCTGGGCCAGGATCGGTGTTGGTGTATAGTTGGTGCCCTCCGAACGAAATCCACCTTGCCATGGCGGCGGTGGCCCAAAGAAGCGTCGGCGGCGCGCGAGAGAAGGGAGGGCCGATGGGACGCAGCGAAGCACGGGGAGCCTTCCAGGAGGGTTTGTCAGAAGGCGGGAGGGCTTCTGCACATAGAGAACCAACTGCATGACTAGGGGGAAAACAAACCTACCTCGCTTTTGACCACCCTCGCTTCCAAGAGATACCAAACGATGCCAAACTACGGCCTGTACTGGTCAGGCCGCTTGACGAGGAGGCGCGTGGTATGACTTGGTTTTGCCTGGAAGCGAAAGCGGGGTAGGTAATTCACGCTCTGAATGACCATAAACTAAGTTTCTTGGACCATGAACTGCACAACCATTAACTACAGAACAAAAACAGTGCAACCATCAACTAAAAGTCATAACCACAAGTTACTTGTGGCGCTCCGCACGAATTTCTTGGATCCGCGCTGGATCCCCCTCCCTGGCGCGCGGAGCGCGCCAGGGGCGGCGCCGGAGGCGCCGCCCAGGGCAGATCCAAGACATCTGCGCAGACCACCAACAACTTATATGTTTGTGGCGGTTGCTTCACCTTCGATCCGTGCCTCTTCTTTGAGGCCGCCACCCTCCCCCGACCCAAACATGCTCATAACCTGTATCGGCCATACGCAAGAGTGACCCTGGGTAAGAGTGACCTTTGGTGCGCGGCTTTTTGGGGGGCCGCGGGGGGGCCAAACCTGGGCGCGCAAGCAGCTGCTACTACCTTGTTTGCAGCCATCCGGGGGCCCCATCTGCGCCCGCACCAAAGGTCACTCCGGCGAAAGGTCACTCTTACGTTCCCCGACATGCGACGTCCTGATTTTTCAGGACGGCGTCCCTGGAAGCCCCGACCCTTTCCCCGGGACTGGTTTTTCGTCCTGAGTCGTTTTCTGACGGTCCCGAGGCCCGGCGAGGGCCCCCTGGGGCCGAAAAGAGCCAAAAACCTCCCGCCCAATATTTTTTTTACGGCGCGATCACATCTGGGCTTCGTCGGCGATAGCCACGCCCACGCCCGCTCCGACCCCTCTCGGGGCCCGCCCCTGCCGGCTCCGCGAGCTGCGTCGTCCCGCGGCCGCGGGGAGGCCCGGGTTAGGGCGCACGGCGCGCCCCGCACAGCAGAAGCGGAAGCACACGACGGAGGAGTCCACGCATAGAGGCCTCCTAGATGGGGTCGAAGTAGATGGGGTCGGAGGATCGCGCCGCATCGGCGATGCATCGGCGATGCATCAGCGATGCATCGGCGATGCATCGGCGATGCTCCGACGATGCATCGCCGACGTCGGCGACGCATCGGCGACGTCGGCGTGGAGAAAATCGGGCTCCGCATCGAGCCGAATCGGCGATGTATCGCCGATGCGGCGCGACCCTCCGACCCCATCTACTCCGACCCCATCTGGGAGGCCTAGAACGCAGCGCGCGATGACGAGCGGGCGCACAGCCCTGGAATTCTTGGTCGGGTATGTCCTCCTACGGGCGGGCTTTCTCGAAGAAGAGCGACACGTCGTCCAAACTACTCCAAAACGTAGTGAAAAAGAAGCGGCGTGACGTCTCCGGGCTACTTTTTGACGATTTGTGAATTCTCTCCCTGTAGATGGACATGCCCGACTTGACTCTGGAATTTGTTCTGGTATGTCCTCGTCGGATTTTGGAAGGAAAGCGAAGAATAGTCAAACATACTCAAAAAAGTAGTCAAACGCCGCCTCCTGGTCCTCGTCCGCCGACGACGACGAGGAGGAAGACGAGGGAGAAGGAAGGCGGCAGGAGATGGGGAAGGGAGAGGAGGGGGGAGAGGAATTATATGGAGGGAGGAGGACGGGCGGATCGACGATCAGGGAGGGATGAGAAGGAGGAGGAGGAGGAGGAGGAGGAGGAGGAGGAGGAGGAGGAGGAGGAAGGAGGAAAATAATGAGGAGAAGGAAGAGGAGGATGGAGGAAGAAGGATGGACGAGAAGGGTGGAGGGATGAGGATGCACGAGGGCTCCTCATCCCTCCTCATCGTCCATCCGCCCGGAGGTCCGCGCGGATCTCTCGGACCGGCGCAGGGCGCCCCCGTCCCTGGCGCTCGGAGCAAGCCAGGGGCGGCGCAGGAGGCCCCGCCTGGGGAGAAGGAGGAGGAGGAGGAGGAGAAGGAGGAGGAGGAGGAGGAGGAGGAGAAGGAGAAGGAGGAGGATGGGGAGGAGGAGGATTGAGGACGGGACGGTGGAGGGATGAGGATGCACGAGGAGGGAGGAACGGAGGATAGGGAAGTGTGCAGGGAGAACGATGGAGGAAGGAAGGAGGGAGGAAGGGGGATCACGGAGGAGGAGGATGAGGAGGGGGAGGAGGACGTCAATGACGACGACAACAATCGGAGGAGACCTGCGAGGCCAGCTGCTCGATGGGAGCGCTCACCCCCTTGGGGGGCCGCAGCGGGTGCGGGGAAGGCGCCGGCGAACGTCGCCGTCGTTCGTCGCTCATCCGCCGTCAACCGTCGTCCGCCGTCTTTGTCGTCGACCGTCCGTCGTCAATTGTCGTCGGTCGTCGTCGTTGTGAATCGTCCTTCGCCGCCGCCGCCGCCGCCGACGACATCGGCTTCGTCGTCCGTCGTCGTCCGCGCTGGACTGGCGGCAGTGGCGTCCCGCTCCCCATTCCTCCGCGGATGCCCTTCTGTGCAGTGCACCGCTGTTGCCTGCTAAATCCCCGTCCGTGCCTCCCCTTCCCAGACCCCCGACGTCATGATTTTTGTCCAACGTCGACCCCCAGAGGTCTGGACCCCTTCCCCGGTACTAGTCTCTCATCCTGAATCTTCTTTTGACGGTCCCGAGGCCCGGTAAGGGCCCCGGGAGGCCGAAAACATAGAAAAACCTCCCGTCGTGATTGTTTCATGACCCGAGAGGGTCTGGGGGCACCAATTTCGCTTGCTAAAATCCCCGCGAGCGGGTGCTTACACGGGGTGACCCAAATGGAGGGTGAAGAGACAGGCCCCAACGGGGCCCTTGCGGACCCCTTTAAAACTCCAAAAGGGGCCCTAAAAGAGCTGGCCTTGAGGGCCTTTTCTCCACACCCAATGTGAGCCACCCCCATTACCATCGGGGGCGTGCAAAAATGGGTTAGCGATCCACGGATTTGGCGCGCGATTGTCAAATCCATGGCCGGGGAAGTGCCCTCCCCAAAACGCGGCCGGTGCCGCCTCGCTCGGCGGCGGAACTCCGCGACTTCCCGTGGAAGCGGGGCCCGTCGCTGATCCACGCCCCCTTGATCCATGTCTGCGATCGCCTGGCATTAGCACCCGCCGGATCCCCGTCCATGCGTCCCCCTTCCGACGTTTGGGTGTCCGCCTCTCCTCTGCATTGACCCCAAACCCGGGGCCGACGGGGCCGGGGAGCCCCCCTGGCGGCCTTAAATAAGGTCTGCGAGCGCCCTGGCGCGTCGGCGAGCGGCCCTGGCCACCCTAAATAGCGTCGTCTCCCAAGCCCCCGACGTCGCGACCTCTTCAAAACGCTGGGCCCCCCGAGGGGCCTCGGCCCCCTGTCTGGACACCCGAGATGGGCACGGAAAGAATGGGCACTGTGCCCAACAACAAATGTTGTCCCAAGCCAACAGCGGCCGCTGTTGGGCCGGCGGCCTCCTGTCTCGAATGGACACAGGCCGCGGCGGCGTGGACAGCGAGTCCTGCTCAGAATAAACAGGAACTGCTGTTGGGCACTGTGCCCATTCTTTCGGTACCCATTTCGGGCGTCCAGACCCTGGCCCAGGGCTGCTGCTTTTTTGTCTTGCGCCTGGGGCGCGCCCGCTGCACGGCCCCAGGGCCTGGCCAGGGCCCCCCACCAGCAGGGGCCCTGTCCACAGGAAACCCAAGGGTCAGCGAGAATAAAACAACTATGCAGTTACCTCTTTAAACAAAGGTTTGTTGTTTTTTATGTGATTCCACCACAAACACACATTAACATAACAACAATGTAGTTAATACAGGCTTCAAATATAGCAAGAACAAATAAGCCTATCAACCACAGTTACCACATATGAAAAATCAGATTTTTTCTTTTGGAAATTCAGGTAACTCAAATCCAAAACAAATCCCCCCCACAAGAAACCCAACCCTGAGACCCCAGGACGTCCGTCGATCTTTGGCGTGGGGACGTCGCGCCCTCCAGAGCAAAACCATCGAAACCCGAGAAACCCAGAGTACCCTGGAGGGTGTTCTTGGAATGGACCTCCCCTGTAATTAGAGGCCGAGAGCTTCCCAAACTCTGTCGCCGTCGCGATCTTCCCACGGCGCCGTGAGAAAGCCTGGAGCCCGTTTTCCAGCACTCGCGACAACGACCAGTAACCCCCCCGCGCCAGCGCCGTCTGGGAAGGGTTACTGAGGGGCACCTCCCCCTCCTCACTCGGGTGCTGCCCAAGGCGCCCCCGGCCCATACGAGGCCCCGCCGAGGGCTCCAGAATGGCGCTGAAAGCTGGGGACGCCTTGGGCCAAGACCACTTCTGGCAACACCAGAGCTCAGGTTCCGCCGCCCCGCAGCATAAAACAGCGAGCAAGGCCTGGGCACGACCCACACAAGCCACGACGGATGCTCTTGAGCCTCCTCGGCCTCCTCGTCCTCCTCTTCGCCCTCGGCCTCGCCATCGTCCTTGTGCGCCTCCTGCTCCTCACCATCGCCAGAGGCCCAGGCCCCCGACGCCGTGATTCTTTCGCAACGTCGAGGTCTGGACCCCTTCCCCGGGACCGGTTCTTCATCCCGAATCGTTTTTGACGGTCCCGCGGCCCGATTCTTTCGCAACGTCGAGGTCCAGACCCCTTCCCCGGGACCCGTTCTTCATCCTGAATCTTTTTGTTGACGCTCCCGCGGCCTGGTAAGGGCCCCCGGAGGCCAAGAACTGCTCAAGGCCACCCGCCGTGGCTTCTTCTTGGGCGTGGCTTAATAGGGGGTCACAAATGGGGGGGTCCGGAAAAGGTCCCCTTTCGTGCCCCTTTCGGGCCCCTCCAGAGCCCCAGGGGGCTCGTTAATTTAGGTACCGCTTGGGTACCTTTTCGGACCCCGCTCGCCAACCCCCCATTTATGACCCCCCCACTACGCGGCGCCCAACTCAGAAGACTTCTCAGAAGGCTGGGAAACTTCCGAGCCTTCTGAGAAGGCCCGCCCCTTCTCGTGTCCCCCCCGGGCGCGCCGCCTCCCTCTTCTCTTCCTCCTAACGATCTTCGACAGCATCTGCAGCGATAGCATTATGACCCCCCCACTACGCGGCGCCCAATCTTCACGCCCACGCCAGGGGGGTCTCCGGGGGACGCCCACGGAGGCCGTGCCCTCCAGGGGACACCCGGCGCTGCCGAGACTCTTCTGGTGCGAGAGCGCCCGGACCTCTCGATGGCCTCCCAGTGGGCCCGCCCGTGATGGGCACATCTTCCACCACCGCTACCAGATGTAGGACGGGGGAGAAGGGAGCACGAGGAGGTCCTCCCCCTCCTCCTCCTCATCCTCCTCCTTCTTCTTCTTCGTCCTCCTCCTCATCATCATCCTTCTTCGTCTTCTTCATCTTCCATCACCGCTACCAGATGTAGGACGGGGGAGAAGGGAGCACGAGGAGGTCCTCCCCCTCCTTCTCATCCTCCTCCTTCTTCTTCGTTTCCTTCATATCAGTATGCTAAGTAGCAGTCCTGTGGTGATCACTATTTTGCTAGTGTTCGTACCACTCTGATTGGTCATATACTGCTTATTCGTATGAGTGTTCGTCTCCTTCTTAGTCATATTATGATCATTAATATTATCATTGGTCTTGCCATTCTCCTTTCGAGTCGTATAAGCATTGATCATATTGTTTAAACGATTCTTACTAGAACACTAAGTCTTAGCAGTACGCTTATTACTGCTACTACTATATTGGTACTCTTGGTACTTTTCGTGTGTTTATTATCAGTAGTATGTTTCTTCTACCTCTTCTTCCTCCTCGTCCTCGTCCTCGTCCTCGTCCTTGTCCTCGTCCTCGTCCTCGTCCTCCTCCTCCTCCTCCTCCTCCTCCTCCTCCTCCTCCTCCTCCTCCTCCTCCTCCCTCCTCCCCCTCCCCCAACCCTCCCCTCCCCCCTCCCCCTCCCCCTCCCCCTCCCCTGCCCCTCCCCCCCCATCATCCCCTCCCCCTCCCCTTCCATCCCCCCCTCTCCTCCTTCTCATCCTCCTCCTCTCCTTCCTCATCCACCTCCTCCTCCTCCTCCTCCCTCCCCTCCTCCTCCTCTTGCTCCTCCTCCCGAGTCGATCGGGGACGGCCCCCGAAGAAACAGAGAGGACCCCCCAACAAACAGAGAGGACCCCCCCCTTCCAGTGCAATCTTGCAGCCTCCTGACGCCCCAGGAGAGAGGGAGGAGGGGGAGGAGTGAGGAGGAGGAGGGAAGGAGGGATGCAGTGGGGGGAGGAGGCAGGGAAGAGTGAGAAGGGAGGCGGGCAAGGAGCTATCCCCAAACAATCTCTGAAGTCCGTCTTTCCTTCTCGAGCCGCCGGTTATCTGGGTCGCCCTCCGCGCCGCCGAAGCAAAGCCCCTGCAAGCGGGGCGTTAGTAAACGGGCTGGTAACTATGGGTGCGTGTCCAATGTTTGTTTTCAAGGAATCATTTGCCGCGCACAAGTGCGAGGTCCCCCCCCCCCCCGCCCGGAGTTCTGATGATGTATCCACGATTTTGCCGTCCCGATGTATCACGCACAGATGCGAGGCAAATGCCCTGTCACCCCGTTCCCGCTTCAAGAGGCCCCTGAACTGCCGCCCCGTTTACTGTAGCCCCGTTTGCAAAGGACGGACGAAAAGGTGAGATAGAAAAGGGGGGGTCGCGAATCAGCTCACGTGGCGGACTTCTCCGGCACCAGGAGGCGCGCCAGTGTATCGAAGGAGCGCCTGGCGGTGGAGCCGACACCAGCTGCACGCCGCAGGTGTCGCCACCCTTTTTGGCGGCGAGCGAGGGGGGGAAGTGAGAAGGAGAAGGCTTCTCAGCTCTCTTCCTCTAACAATCTTCGACAACATCAACAGCGACAACAGCGATCCCAACGACAACGATGGCAGCGACAACGATGACAACGACAGCACCGATGACGATAACAATGATATAACAGACGAACGCGATAACGTTGCTATCGCTATCGTGATAACAATGGTAAGCATGATATCGATGATAGGTTTAACTCGGGTCTGTCCCCCTACAGGGAGATTTTCGACGGAAAAAATACCCCAAACAAAAATCCAAAAATAGTCCAAAAATAGTCTGGGGACTATTTTTAAACATATTTGTTTGACAATGCTGGTGCATGTTTTTTTTATTATTATTATTTTTCGTTGGAAATGCCCCTGTATAGGGGGACACGCCCGACTTAATGATAGATCTGTTATCACCGTTGTCGTGATCGCTGTCGTCCGACCCGAGAGGAGGGCACCACACCTC